GGAGATGGAAAATGGTAAACATAAGGTGTTTAATTTCCAAATGTCCAAGTTGGATACTAAAATAATCAACGATAAACTTGAAGAAGTATTCAACAAGCTCGTTTCTGCTATAAAATCAACATTGCTCTGGGGTTTGTTCTTCAAAATTTTGAGACTGGTGAAAGTCGATATTTCGACGCCTATGAAAACATTACTTTCTTTGAAAAATCCCATTTGCTATGTAACAAAGCAGTTTTAATTACAATCCAAGGAAAAGTGAAAAAATTTGATATTGTGGAGCAATGTTCCCAAAAACGTCAAAACACAAAGTGGCGATTCAAGTTGAATACTAACGTCACAATTTTTGCTGCTTGTCTCAAAAACATTCCCATAGGATGTCCGGATTCTGTCTTACCCGAACCTTAACTACGTCATATGCAAGTGAACTGTCTTTTATCTAACAAAGAAAAGGAACCTTAAAAAGATCATTTGTGTCTTTTCCGCGCCTTGGCAATGTACATGATTGGACACAAAGATCTCGACTCTCACACTTGTAGATACTTAACAGAACTTTTAACAAAGTCTGGTTATGATCCTTAAAGTTTTTTTGGAGTTTCAGTAGAAGACATAACGGTTGTCCCGGAAATTGTGCAAAGAAACATCTCTATATACAATTTTGATATCCAAGAAGGAGAATACGTAGGAGAACTAGCTCACCAAAGTAGCGGACGGAAGATTTGATACAACTGTTTAAATACTGAGATTTAACAATCATATCATTCATACAAATGATATGATATACATAGCTTCTTCAAATGTTTTCAGTGTCCAAGTTGTGACAATTTCTTCAATAAATTCGACAATTTTAACAAACATCTTCTGAGATGCAAGGATCGAGTGAGAAGTATTTACCCAAAGATTTTGTACGAGCTTTGAGAAACCGTATTTGAAAAACTAGTATGATTCAATCTACCAGTTTTTGAAGATAACAAACTTTTTAATAGCCTATCAATTTTCGATTTTGAGTCAGTTTGTGTTCCTACAGAGGAACTAAAAGAAACACAAACTACAACCTGAACTGGAAAACATGTTCCAAATTGAGTCTCTATATCATCAAATCCGATTGATGAACACCTCTTGTTGTACAACAAGGATCCAGAGAACTTGATAATTGACTTTGAAAGCAACCTCGAACTGCAAGTTGAAAAAAGTAAGCTGGAGATGACAACAAAATTTCAAGATACTGAAGTAGCTATCAGTGGGAAAATGAAAAAGAATTTTGATCAGCTAAATGAACGAGGTAAAAATTATTCAAGTTACCATTTCCAGTACAAAGAAGAACGCATTGAAGATTCGGAAGAAGCAGATATGTCAACAAAATTCTTGCGAATTCAGACAAAATCAACTCATTGATTTGAAACACCATCTGGAGAGATATGTAAATACCCTACCTATTTTTGAATTTAACAGCGGTAGATAGGATTTCAATTTGACAAGTCCTACTTAATCCCTTATTTGACTTGCGGTGAAGAACAAGAAAACCAGTCATCAAAAAGCAAACGATTTCATTTCCTTCAAGTTGGAGATGTACAATTTCTCGACATAATGAAGTTTCTGGGTGTTGCAACTACTCTGGATTCGTTTCTCAAAGCCTACAAAGCTAGCGAAACGAAAAGATTCTTCCCCTATGAGTGGTTTGACAACCCAGACAACCTTGATTTTCCCGAGGTGCCGCCGTATGAAGCCTTTTTCAGAAAAATTAGAAACAAAAATCCTCTAGACAAAGATTTTAAGGACTATGAGAAGCTGAGAAAGAGTGGGTTTGACAAACAACAAGCACTGAAAAAGCTTTAAGTCAAGACTGAGCCTCCATCTGGTTTGGATAATAACAATTACTTGACTGTGTCAAGAAAAACGGAATAACTGTGTTCAAAGACTTTTTGAAGTGGTACAACAACAAGGATGTTGTTCCAACCCTGGAATCAATGCAAAAATGATTCAGTTTTATCATAACAAGGGGATAGATATTGAAATTTGGATGTACACTTCGAAATCTAGCAAACATATGTTTACACAAATCTACTAATTACAAGTTTTATCCCTTTTGCGAAAGTGATAAAGATTTTTGTGAAAAAATACGAGAAGACATGACTAGTTACTGGTGGATTTTCCATTGTTTTCACTCAAAAAGCTGTGGTTGATGAAACAGTCATCAGAAATTTATCAAATGTTTGTATATCAATCGTTGGAAATGATGCAAGTCAGCTCTACTTATTTTCAATGTGTCAAAATATGCCAACAGGACTGTAAACGAGATGGGAGTTTGACAATAATATACAAAAACTCAAACCAGACATAATCGAACGCGCAATTTTGAGAATATGGTCAAGTCTTTTTACCAGGAAACAAGACCGGAATGTAGAAATGAGAGTTTTTTTACATCTGGAGAACCGAAAAAATCGACTGTTCTAATGTGGACGGTTATTTTGATCACTTTAAAACAGTGTTCGAAGCAATGGGATGTTACTTCCGCTTCTGTTCCTGTCCAGAAGCTCGCCCATCGTTAACAGATCAGGATATCTCACGAGGAAATAAGAAGAGAGAGATGGATGTAATAAGACGTGAATACATAAAAGAGAAAGGATACAAAGTTGAAGAAATGTGGGAGTGTGCGTGGTGGGAAAGTTTCAAAACCAATGACAAGATCAAAAATCTTGTCGGAATCCAGTTTCCTTACAAAAGACTTCTATCTACAGATTCTCTTCTAATAAAAATAAAAGATGGATTTCTTTTTGGTTATGTTCAGTGCGGTTTAGTTGTTACAGATGAGCTAAAATCAAAGTTTGCCAATTTCCTCCAATTTTGAAAAACACTGAACTTGGAAGAAAGAAATTGGAGACTACATGAAAAACTATGCAATCAAGAACGAAATGTTGAAGCATCCTCAGAGAAGGCTGATATCTATGTTCAAGCTAGAAAATGGAACAGTTATAACTTCTCTGCTTAACTTTTATTTTGAACTTGGCTTGCAGTGCACCAAAATTTACCGTTCTGATCAGTATAATCCACAAAAATGTTTCTTTAATTTCGTTTAATCAGTGGTTGATGCGAGAAGAGAGTGAGATAAAAACCTCTATCAGGAGTTGTAGCAGAAACAATGAAATTTTTGGGTATTTCCTCTCAGGGATATCAGATCATGGATAGATCCAGGCATACAATTACGAAGTATCTGAATGATAAAAAACGCATAAAGCGATCAATGAGTCATTGTTCAAAAGATTAAATACAGCTGAAAAAGAATTGTGCGTGGTGGAGTTGTTGAAATCAACCCTTGAGCACCGAGAACCCATCATTGTTGGCTTTTTCATACTTGAGTTTGCAAAACTGAGAATGTTGGAACTCTACTATAACTTCTATGACAAGTTATCTGATCTATAAAAGTTTGAAGAGTTGAAGATGGACAAAGACTCACTTTACTTGGCACTTGCTGAAGAAAACTTATATGACTGTATCAAACCAGAAAAAAAAGAGACATTTGGGGAAAAACGAGGGGAAATGACTGCAGGGACTTTTTCAAGGCAGATGCAAAAACGAATTTCTTCCCTCAAACGTGTAGCAGTATCCATAAAAAGCACGATAAGCCGGGGCTTTTCAAAGAAAAAATTAGGTGCACAGAAATGCTATGCTTCTGTAGCAAAACTTATTGCTGCTATGACAACAAGTCAGACAAGTTCAAAATCAGCAGTAAAGGTTTGAACAAACAAGTTCTAGAAGATTCTAGAGATGGACTCATGGCAAAGTACAAGAGAGTGCTCGATGAAGCAGTTAACCTCCTATCTACTAACTGAGGATTCATAACTATAAATCAAATGGTTGCTACATGCGAACAGACAAAGAAAGGACTAAGCTTTTTTTTATCCTAAAAGACAAGTTCAAGATGATAGAATTCATACAAAGCTATTGCACATATAAAAACTCATGCAACGTAGAAAATTTATAACTAGTGATGCAATGCGTTTCACTTCTTTACAAAGCAGTATTTTGTTGGTGTATTATTATAAAGTTGCGTTAAATTCAAATACGATGCAGTGATTTTTATACTTTCATTGTAATTTAATTTTTTTTCCAAAACTTGACTTCTTTTCGAAGTTTCAGTAGTTTTCAGGATAATTTCAAGTACATGTTTCAAAAAGTAAGATTGTTTATTAAATAATTAATAGGTCAAGTTATAACAAATCTTATCGTGTTTTGAAGTTTTTTTCGAAAATATTTTCGAAAAAAAACTCTCCATTTTTACCCAAAAACTCTTATCATTAACCTACCATGTACCAAAAAACTAATTACATAACCTTCATTACACAACCTATACGTAATTAACCTTTGATATTTAACAATTAGATAACAGGCGCCGAAATTTTTGCGAAAAAAACTAGACATTTCCACACAAAATCCAAAAAAGTTCGTTTTTTTTTACCATTCTCGTAGCATCACACAAACCATGAAATCCACCATTGGTTTTCCCTATCCTAATACATTGTAGACTCTATACCCAATGTTAATACATAGGTGGAAGACCGGATGCTCTATTCCCTATCTTAAAACATGGAGGTCTTCCCCCTCCCCCCACTTTAGCTCCAACATCTACTACTTATAACAAAGCCTTCATTGGCAAAAATGCGTATTCCAAGTAGAAGTTTCAATTTTTGTTCTGTTTTCAGCCTGATTTTCAATTGACTCTCATTCCCTCGCTTTAAAACTTTTTGGAGCTGTTTTTATTTTAGTATAGTTTTTTCAATTTTTTTAGAACCTTATTTCATTCAATCAACACCTGTTGCCCAAAAAAGTCCAAAAGTTTGATTATCAGAAATAGAAAAAGACGTCATTTTTATGTAGTTCCACTAGCCATGTTTTGGGTCATATGGCATAACATTTTAAAAATCATAGCATTTTAAATTGAATCATGGATCAATAAAGTACTCAACTGAAAAGATTCCCTCTCGAGTTATATATTTTTTGTTTAGAGTATCTTGAAAACGAGGTCAAACTAACTCGTAAGAGGTACGAAAACACCAAAGACGAACTACAAGAAAAATCCAGGCTGTTCGAAAAATTGATAGAGGAAAACGAAAGACTACGAATGAAACTTGGCGAACCTGAAAAACCCTCTTTCTTACTTGAAAAAATATACTCGAAAAACAGCAAAAATGTTGATTTTGCTGAGGATGCATTGCTGGCCAGTCATAATTCTAGCCAACCAGAGTCAACGACCATTAGATCCCGCCAATCACAGCTGGCACCGGCAAAAATTGGCCAATCACAAGAGAGAAACCGTGAAATACAAACGCCACTTACAGATCAAGATTCCTTTACGTCCAACAATTTGAAGTTTCTACGAGAACGACTCGTGGAACTGCGACAGAAGAATGAAAAATTGCAGGAAAAATATCATCAAGTGCAGTCAAGTTTACCCGAGGACGCGGGTGAAATGCAAAACAACATATCCAGTACGCCTATTTTTTTCACCTAGTCGCATTTGAGCTATAGTTAGGGCAATTGAGAAGTTCAGTCCAAGCTACTTAGTTATATCTAAAAAAAATAATAGACCAAAATTTAGAAGGGTGGATAGTTTGTAGCAGGCAATACTATGGCCTTCAGAGGTCTAGAATTTTAGAAAAAAGAGGCTGAAAAGTTTTTAAAAACTATAATCAAAATCAGCTGATACACCTCGGCAAAACCTATGCACGAGCTATTTTTTCCAAAAATTGGTCTTCGTCAAAAAAATTTAGGAGACAAGGGTCTTAAATTATTTTGGGGAAAGTTGAAAAATAAATTCAAAGTTTTTTTGAAAAACCCCACCCCTCGAGAAAATCCTAGATCAGCGCCTGTTTCAGGAGAATTAAATTTTTTGTCAAAAACAGCCCTACAAGTATGCCCAACATGGCATTACTGGCTGGTTTTCTCAAACGTTTATGGGATGCAGAGACTCTTCGGAAAGCTGGATAGACTTTTATACTGTTTCTGGAAATCTCAGTCAATTAATTTGATTTAAAGAGTTTTAAAAATTGGGAGAAAAACTCACGATAAATTTTTTGAAATAGCGTAAAAATTTTTGCTTGTGTTCAAGATCTCGAAACTGAGCATGAGCATTTGGTCTCGGTTTTTGACGAGGCAGATCGTGAAATAGAGAGCATGATTAACAACATAGCTCACTGTAGTGCAGGTAAAAAGACTAACCAACCTGTGATAACCCTATTCTGCGGAGCGTGTTAAGAAGAAGAATAAGATGGATAATGTAAATTTACTGTTGTTAGTTTTGTCCTGTTCTTAGTTAATAACTGATAGTTTGTTACTGCTTTTCAGTATGAGATATGAACACACTGAACAACTCAAACTTTAGTGTTGGACAACAACGCATGACCTTGACCACTTACATAATAATAACATAATAAATAGTTAGCACATATGGTTACTGCAGATGCAGTAGTTATCAACTGTCCTCAAGGTTGTGTATTACAGATGGCTGCACTACCACATTCCCCCTTGGGCAAAATAAAATTTTATCTACTATATTTAAAATTTTATAAGTAACAATAATATGAGTTTTTCCAGCTCAGTTTCTTGTGGTACCATAGGTGTATGCCTTTTATCAGTTTTTCTTCTCTATTTCCTTTTTCTTTATTTCTAATGGCACTTTCCATTGATTGCTCCATGGTTGTGTCGTATCCAGCGCGGCATACCCAAACTTTTTTCTGAATAAGTGGCGTTCCAGCAGCTTCAGACGGGTCTCCATTGGGTTGTTTTTATCAGTTTTCACATTCGCCAGACCAAGTCTGTATTGTTCTAACGCCATTTCGTTAATAGCATTCTCGTCATCCGCGGAAATATGTTTTACTGAGTGTTTCACTGGGCTGCCAAATCTTTTCGGCCCTTGATTTTTCGTGGCTCGTGTACTACGTCTGACGTTTGTGCCTCCTTGTTCATCAACCGCCGAGTCGTCTGAAACTCCTGACGGTGATCCTAGTTCGACTTCATTCTTGTCTTCCACTTTAGATTTGACAATCTCCTCCGCTGTCATTTGCAGACCTCTGTTCAGCACTTGATCGGCTAAGTTTTGCCATTCTTCCTCCCCCATGTCTTGTTTCTGGAACGCATTCAAGATTGCACCCGGTGACGTATCTCTTGTTATGCGTTTCTTAGAGGGTACACTTTTGGTGCCCGAGCTGCCTGCACAATTCGCTTGATCTCCATCTGATTGTTTTGTATTGATACTATCTTCTGCTGCTACCGCAGCTTTCTTTTTTCCTTTGCCCTTGTTTTTGAGTGTTTGCTCTCTTTTGTCCCGTGATTCCCCTGTCGGGTTTATCGCAACCTGTTCCTGTGTCTTTGGGCCCCCGAGATTGGGCTTGGCACGCTTGATTGCCAAATTTAGGCCCCCACCGACTGGTGTTTCACGTGATGTTACGACCTCTTCGCTGTTTTGAAACGATTCTTTCGTCTGTTCACTTGGTGTATTCCAGTCCTCCTCTTCGGACAGTGTGTCTTCCAAGACATCCTCATCCTTCTTCTGATGTTTGCTTTTTGGCTCCGCCAGTGGGCTTTGGGCCTTCTCCTTCTGCGTTGTTCCCTCTTTGGGTGATCTCATAGGGGAACCTTGTATCTTCGACAGGTCACTTTTTCTATATACTGCCCCTGCAGCTGTTGTCACCGTCTTTGATGACTCGGATGCAACCTTCCCCTTAAATGGCTTTGTCAGCGCTGCTCCACTTTTCCTCGTTTCGTCCCTGCGACTGAGGTTTTGGGTGTTCCAATCTGACCCCTTGGGCTTGTCTTCTACAAATCCCTTTTCCCATGAATAGAGTAACTCCTTCCTTAACTCAGGGTCAATTGTACTTGTGTCATCTACTAGTTGTGAAAGGCTGGGTCCATCATATCTGCGTCGTTCCGCGTTCCAATTCGCGTTCGCCTCCAACAAGTTTCGTAGAGTTCTCGCTCTGTTTCTCTCCTGAGTTGTCAAACTAGCTTGTTTGAATAGGGGGCTGACTTCTCTGCTTCTCTGTCCTTTTTTCACGATCTTTAGAGCATCTCGAGACTGATCAATCCTCTTCTTGAGTTGGCTTGCGGTTAAAGCTGACCTCTCCAGATGCTGTTTATCTAAATTATCAGAAAACTCTACAAATTTATCCCGTATGATTTTGAATTCTGTTTTCGGTAGTCGATTGAAGTGTGCTGCAAACGGTGATTTCTGTATGGTTTTTTGTTTTATCCATCGCAAATCCCTAATGATTGTACTAAGGCATAACTTTATTGACTTTACATTCTCTTCCAATAGCATCACCCCCAAGCGCCTTTTAATAGTTTGGATTGTCCTTTCTACTAAACCGCACCCGCGGTGGTCACCCACCGGGCAGAACTTCTGTTCAATGTTGTGTTCGAGACAGAATTTTTTCATGGCTTTTCCTTTAAATCCGGAAAACTGGTCGGTTTTTATCGATTCTGGTATGCCATGCGTATCTATGTACGACCTTAGGAATTTTATAGTTGATTTACCCCCCGTTGATTTGGTTACTTTCACCGACGGAAATTTTGAAAACCGATCAATTGCTACCAATAAGTAGATTTTCTTTCCTTTATGGTCTTCTAAAGGTCCTGCATAATCTAATTGGACTTCCTGTCCTGGCTGCGATAGCAGTGGCAATGGTTGGGAAGAGTTTTTCGGTATAATGTATTTTGCATTCTTACCATAGCGTGTACATTCTCTGCACTCTTCAGCGAGGTTTACGATGTCTTTATGCATATGGGGCCACCACAGATAATTTGATACATCAATCATTGCCTCCTGTCCCGGATGTCCTCTATGTATGCGCTTCAACACTGCTTGGCGCAATTGAGCTGGTACTGCTATTCTGTTATCTACGAGAATGCAATCGTCGACTACTGAAAGTTGGTTCCACAACGGGTTTGTGTATGGGCCCATTAGCTCAAATCCCGCCCGATCCTTTCTCTCTATTACTCGACGTAGTCGGTCCATCCAGACATCCTCCGATATGAGTTCGGCCAACAGCGTCTTATCAAATAATTTTGATAAGGTAAAGTTTCCAGGGTCTCCTACGTCTGTTAATGCGCTTGCCAGTTGGGTTTTTCCCTCTTTAATTCTTCTCGAGGTTTGAACCGCGCTCACTTCCGGTCCAAAATCGTCATCATCTGCTGTTAGATCCACTTCAATGATTGATTTCGCTGGTGAACCTCTCGGACTGCTCGTTACCATCTGCGTCATCGCCTCTAGCTCTCTGATATTTCCCGGTAGTTCTTGATCTTTACTAACTAGGTCCCAAATGGATAGCAAATTTTTCGTTTCTTCGGCATCTTTCTCCCATATCGCTGCCCGTGCAGTACAACTGTCCTCGTCAAAACTGTCTTCCGTTCTATCTAGAGTTCTTCTAATTCGACATGTTCTATGGAATGTAGTTTCGGTTATCTCAGCTTCCGCTACTTGATCGTTTTCCTCCTGTGTCTGTGTCCTACCGTCTTCTATTCTCACCGATTTCTTCTTCATCCTTCCATCCTCCATTTTTTCTGAGATTACTCTTCTGTTTTTTACTAAATTAACCGACTGTATTGCTCTGTTGAAATTGACACGAGTGTTTTTCTGTTTCAACACGTTCTTGTCTGTCAAGAAATCTGAATCTCCCCCGTTCTCGTTCCGGTCGAGCTTTGTTCGGTTTTTGACCGTTCTGTTGCTATAGCAACCACGCCTGGATTCTAATAATTTCTCTTCTCTTTTCTGTTTTTGAGAATATTCTAGAATCTTTTCACTCGGAATTTTTACATCCGTATCACTTAACCGACTGTATAAGCAGTCGAGTGCTCTATGAAAACACTCAATTGAAGTGACTACAAATTTTTCATCCAGTTTTGTTTCAGGCCAAGGTTCTCCTGATGGTTCTCTAGATAGATAATCTACTATTCCCATATCCTTACCTGGAATATGGACAATTTTGAACTGGTATGGCAGTAATCTATCCACCCATCTTGTTAATCTGGATTGATATGTTTTGTTAGACTTGTTGCCTTCTAAGGCAGATGTTAATGCCTTATGATCAGTAACTATTACAAATTCCTTTCCTAATAGGTAATGTTTGAAACGATCCACTGACCATACCACTGCTAATAGTTCAAGTTCGTTGGTAGAATACTTTTTTTCTTGATTGTTCAGGTAGCGCGACGCGAATGCGATCGGAATCCACTCATTTTTCTCCGTCTGCTGTTCTAAAGATGCACCCAGTCCACTGTGACTTGCATCGCATTTTACTCGAGTATCCCGGTTTGGGTCGTAATAATTCAGTTTAGCAATGTTTGCTACTGCTTTTTTTATTTCCTCGAACACCTCATTGTGTTCTGTTCCCCATTCAAATTTTTTTACTGGGATTTTAATATTTTTCAGTTTTTTCTTTTCATTTTCTTCACGCAATAATGGTCTGAGTTTTTCTGTCAAATTAGCTGCATTCGGTATAAACTTTGCAAGGTGGTTAATGCTACCTAGAAAAGATCTAAGCTGTTTGAGTGACTTTGGATGTTCTAACTTTAGGATAGCCTCCGTTTTTGTAATTTTAGGAGTAACCCCACTTTCCGAAAGTTTATGTCCTAGCCAATTAACTTCTGTTTTGAAGAATTCACATTTTACCAATTTCAGCGATAAGTTCTCCTTATCGAGCTTGCTTAAGACATCAATAATTAGTTTTTCATGTTCTATTTCCGATCCTTTCGAAACAATTAATATGTCATCCAAGAAACAAAACGTATTCTTAGAATGATTCAGCGTCCGATCCATTGCTTTTTGAAATTCGGCTGGCATATCAGCTAGACCATAGAATCCCGTCAGAAATCTATAGGTACCCGTGGCTTTCCCCCCTACGATGTTGAAATTGCACTGTCTTGCAGTTTGTGGATTCAACTTTAGCTGACTATATGCGTATTTCAAATCTAACACGGTGAAGAACAAGGTACCTGCTGTTTGCGCAGTTACTATCTGACTGACCCCATCTAGTAATTCTTCCACATTCGGCATCTGATACTTATTTTTGTATAATTGTCTGTTGATGGGTTTTGCGTCCAATGCCAATTTAATTGTATCATCTTTCTTCACTGTGATAACAATAGGGGCTATGAAACAATCACTGGTACATTTATCCAATTTCTGAATATGTCCTTCTAATAATAGTT